CTGAGCAGGCCCTCAATCCCTCTGTTAATGTGTCACTATACCCCACTCCCTCTAACATGTAAACTCACTGAGCAGGCCCTCAATCCCTCTGTTACTGTGTCACTATACCCCACTCCCTCTAACATGTAAACTCACTGAGCAGGCCCTCAATCCCTCTGTTACTGTGTCACTATACTCTACTCCCTCTAACATGTAAACTCACTGAGCAGGCCCTCAATCCCTCTGTTACTGTGTCACTATACCCCACTCCCTCTAACATGTAAACTCACTGAGCAGGACCTTCAATCCCTCTGTTACTGTCACTATACCCCACTCCCTCTAACATGTAAACTCAGTGAGCAGGGCCCTCAATCCCTCTGTTACTCTGTCACTATACCCCACTCCCTCTAACATGTAAACTCAGTGAGCAGGGCCTCAATCCTTCTGTTACTGTGTCACTATACCCCACTCCCTCTAACATGTAAACTCACTGAGCAGGGCCCTCAATCCTCTGTTACTGTGTCACTATACCCCACCCCAACATGTAAACTCACTGAGTGCGGCCCTCAATCCCTCTGTTACTGTGGCCACTATACCCTACCTCTAACATGTAAACTCACTGAGAGGCATCAACTCCTCTGTTGTGTCACTATACCCCACCCCTGCAACATGTAAACTCACTGAGGTGGGCCTCAATCCTCTGTTACTGTGTCACTAGTACCCCACTCCCCAACACATGTAAACTCACACTGAGCAGGTCCTCAATCCTCTGTTACCGTCACTATACCCCCACTCCCTCAACATGTAAACTCAATGAGCAGGCCCTCAATCCTCTGTTACTGTGTCACTATACCCCACTCTAACATGTAAACTCACTGAGCAGGCCCTCAATCCTCTGTTACTGCGTCACTATACCCCACTCCCTCTAACATGTAAACTCACTGAGCAGGCCCTCAATCCCTCTGTTACTGTGTCACTATACCCCACTCCCTCTAACATGTAATCTCACTGAGCAGGCCCTCAATCCCTCTGTTACTGTGTCACTATACCCCACTCCCTCTAACATGTAAACTCACTGAGCAGGGCCCTCAATCTCTCTGTTACTGTGTCACTATACCCCACTCCCTCTAACATGTAAACTCACTGAGCAGGGCCCTCAATCCCTCTGTTACTGTGTCACTATACCCCACTCCCTCTAACATGGAAACTCACTGAGCAGGGCCCTCAATCCCTCTGTTACTGTGTCACTATACCCCACTCCCTCTAACATGTAAACTCACTGAGCAGGACCCTCAATCCCTGTTGCTGTGTCACTATACCCCACTCCCTCTAACATGTAAACTCAGTGAGCAGGCCCTCAATCCCTCTGTTACTGTGTCACTATACCCCACTCCCTCTAACATGTAAACTCACTGAGCAGGGCCCTCAATCCCTCTGTTACTGTGTGACTATACCCTTCACCCTCTAGCATGTAAACTCACTGAGCAGGCCCTCAATCCCCTTGTGTCACTATACCCTACTCCCTCTAACATGTAAACTCACTGAGCAGGGCCCTCAATCCCTCTGTTACTGTGTCACTATACCCCACTCCCTCTAACATGTAAACTCACTGAGCAGGGCCCTCAATCCCTCTGTTACTGTGTCACTATACCCCACTCCCTGTAACATGTAAACTCACTGAGCAGGGCCTCAATCCCTCTGTTACTGTGTCACTATACCCCACTCCCTCTAACATGTAAACTCACTGAGCAGGGTCCTCAATCCCTCTGTTACTGTCACTATACCCCACTCCCTCTAACATGTAAACTCACTGAGCAGGACCTCAATCCCTCTGTTCCTGTGTGTCCAACTTGTCTGGTTACAACTACATGTCTGTTCGCCCACCCATTGTAAAGGACTGCGGAATTTGACATCGCTCTATAAAAATAAATAATAATAATAAGATTGGAGTAACCCTACAGGAAACCTGAAATTACCACCAAGGGGTAAATTTAAATTATACTTCTAATTAATAGACATTAATGGCAGGATGAGCTGTTACAGACACAATGTAATTACTCGTACTAGTTTTTCTTGACCTCTTTGCTGCCTGTGACATTGTGGATCATGCTCTCCATCAAACTCTTCAATCACTCGGTCTCTGTGACTCTGTCCTTTTGTGGTTTCCCTCCTATCTCTCCCAACGCCCATTTAGTGTCTCTTTTTCTAATGATACCTCCTCCCTTCATCCTGTCTCAGCTGGAGTCCCCCAATGCTCTGTCCTTGGTCCCCTTCTATTTTCTCTTTATACTGCCTCTCTTGGCAAACTTGGATGACACCCAGATATATCTCACCTCCCCAGACCTCTCCCCCATGGTCCTACAACGTCTCACTGACCATCTCTGTCTGGATGTCCTCCCTGCTTTCTGAAACTCAATCTCTCTAAAACTGAGCTCCTTGTCTTTCCTCCTAATACTGATCCTCCTCTTTCACTCTCCCTTCAAGTCCATCCTTGCAAGCACACTGTCTTGGCTTTACATTTGAGTCTTGCCTAACCTTTGAGTCTCACATCCAGTATGTTACCAGATCCTGTAGATTCCATCTTAAAAACATAGCCCACATCTACATAGAAACATAGAATGTGACGGCAGATAAGAACCATTCGGCCCATCTAGTCTGCCCAATTTTCTAAATACTTTCATTAGTCCCTGGCCTTATCTTATAGTTAGGATAGCCTTATGCCTATCCCACGCATGCTTAAACTCCTTTACTGTGTTAACCTCTACCACTTCAGCTGGAAGGCTATTCCATGCATCCACTACCCTCTCAGTAAAGTAATACTTCCTGATATTATTTTTAAACCTTTGTCCCTCTAATTTAAGACTATGTCCTCTTGTTGTGGTAGTTTTTCTTCTTTTAAATATAGTCTCCTCCTTTACTGTGTTGATTCCCTTTATATATTTAAATGTTTCTATCATATCCCCCCTGTCTCGTCTTTCCTCCAAGCTATACATGTTAAGATCCTTTAACCTTTCCTGGTAAGTCTTATCCTGCAATCCATGAACCAGTTTAGTAGCCCTTCTCTGAACTCTCTCTAAGGCAGGGGTGTCAAACATGCGGCCCCCCAGATGTTGCTGAACTACAACTCCCATGATTCTTTCAATGAAACAGATAGCCAGGGAATCATGGGAGTTGTAGTTCAGCAACATCTGGGGGGCCGCATGTTTGACACCCCTGCTCTAAGGTATCAATATCCTTCTTAAGATACGGTGTCCAGTACTGTGTACAATACTCCAAGTGAGGTCTCACCAGTGTTCTGTACAATGGCATGAGCACTTCCCTCTTTCTGCTGCTAATACATCTGCCCCTTTCTTACGCAAGATGCTACTAAGGAGCTGCTGCCAGGCTGATTTTCATCTCCAGTCACTCCTCTCACACCTCACCCCTCTGTTAGTCCTTACATTGGCTTCCTGTATCCTATAGGAGTCAATTCAAAGTGCTAACCCATACCTATAAAGCACTGAACAGTTCTAGCCCCCTTATATATCTTCACAGATCCATAGGTATGTCTCTTCTCTGTCTCTCTGCTCTGTCCAAGACCTTCTCCTGTCCACTGCTCACACCTGTATGGCCAACTTATGCTTGCAAGACTTCACGCGGGGGGCTCTCTTCCTATGGAATATCCTGCTTACCTGCCCTAGTCGTCAATTGTTTAAGAAGTGCCTTAAAACCCATCTCTTTAGGAAAGCTTATGGCCACCCAGAGTAACCTCTACCTCACATACCTGTCTCTTGCTCTCTCTCCTAAAGGGCAGCACTTTACTCTCTCCTCCAGCTCTGCTTCACTCCCACCTAATTTGATTGCTATTTCCTGTCCTAATGTGTTTTATACCCTACCTCCTGTAGACTGAAAGCTCGTTTGAGCAGGGTCCTCTTCAACCTATCGTTCCTGTAATGTCTCTTGTAATTGTCCTATTTATTTTTAAATCCCTCCTCTCATAATATTGTAAAGCACTACGGAATCTCTTGACACTACAGAAATGCCAATATTATAATAATTTACAGTAGCAATTTTGCCATAATGAGCTCAATAAAAAAGGGCCCTGTACCTAGTGTAAATGTAAGCAATAACAAGTCTTCCAAAGACGAATAATTGGCACATTAACAGAACTAGTGGTTGCTTGGAGAATTCAGCACCTAAAAGGAGCGGATTAACCTAAAAACAAAAAAATAAACTTATCTAACATTGAACTAATATTGTCAAACTGATTTGCATATAAGAAGATTAGACACTTCATCAGAGCTGATGATGGAAGCTACATGGAAACTGTCAGAAACATAAAACGCTGATGTTTAACCCCTTAAGGACACATAACGGAAATATTCCGTCATGATTCCCTTTGATTCCAGAAGTTGTGTCCTTAAGGGGTTAAAACCTCTGAAAAGACATGACATCAGTTAAGCCAACAAATAAATAGAATATAGTAAAACCGCTTCATAGTAAAAGTCACAAGAATGCCTGTGCTTTAATATGTATTGGGCTTCAAATAATAACTAAACAACCCCCTTCCCCTCTCTCCTCCCTCCCCCCCCCGCTCACAAAAGCATATATTTTACTGCTTTGGCACAAAAGAAAATTATATATAAATCATAATAATAATAAAGGACTGTCTTCTCCAACTACATTTACAAGCTTGCCCAACTGCTTCATGTAGACATCTACCCACTTACACTGGCAAGAAGAGGGGGGGGGATCTCTGGAGGACTGACCAGCGAAAGGTCGATTCATGGCGGATTCTATTCAGTCAGTCAATCACTCTTCCAGCCTGCTGTAACTCCAACGTCCGATTTCATTTATTAATCAGGAAAATATCATCATCCTCAGCTGTATATCCTACTGTCAGTAATACACCTTCAATAAGGGCAAAGTCATAATATAAAGCTACTTGCATAGGGAAGAAAACAACAACAACAATTAGGTATTTTTGGTGTTGATACTCATTCACATTTTAACTATACAAGTTAATAATGTATCTTATAGAATTAGGAGGCCTCTTTAGGTAGAGTATGTAGTACATCTATTGTAATATATATAATTAACATTATATGATAAAAAAAAAAAACACAAAACACACACACACACACGTACAAATATACAGATGGAAAGTTTCTTTTAAAACTTAAATCTCTTTGACTGTGATTTATTCATGCTCGATCTTCTACATCGTAAAGTCCCCATAAATGCTAAAGATATGATTAAAAATAAATAAATGACTGGAAGCTTGAGGATGACAAAAAAAAAAAAATAGAGCATTCCAAACTCCATATGGGATTCGTTTTGTTCGGTATTATTTTATATTGTTATCACTTTCTAAATGTTTGTTCTGTCATCCCATATCTAGACATTTACATTCCTATTGCTTTAATGCAAAGAAGCAATCAATAAAGTTCAAGAATACAACCCAAGGGTTTATGATTGAGATGGGTGTGAAACAACAGAGCCAAAATCTTTGGCAGAACGCTCTGTTCCTCCCCCCGTAAGTGGCTGTGTGTCTTTGGCCGGCAAACTCAGGCTGTCGTCCCCTCTGATTCTTTTGACAGCATATCCAACTAATTCTGAAAGACAGCATCCAGATGGGAATGGTTACTCTTGGCAAAAGGGAGAGTTGTGCTTTTGGGATCAAAGAAAAGTGAACATGGGGAGATATTTAATGAGAGTTAGGTTTAAAGAAAAAAAGAATGTTAAATAAAAGAAGAACGGAAAAATATAATGGAAAAGGGAAACAAAATAAAAGACAATTTTTTTTTTTTAAATGACTTTTGGCTTTCACCAATAACGGGAGACACATCCAAACCCCAAACACTTAATTAGGTGTGGTAACTTTCCAGAAAGCAGACACTAGGAAGCTCATATTATTTTTGTGTAAACCATGATCATAGGAAATTAAGTGGCAGCATGTCGGTAGTTCTTTAAGAAGCCAAATTAATGTCTTTATTTAAATTAAAACAGAGTAGATTCAAAAAGGTAATTCCAATGCTGCAAAGAACTGTTACCATTTAAATTCACTGTTTACCTGATGAACAGTTAAAGGGTTACTCCAACCCTATTTTTTTATTTTTATTTAAATATAATCTAAATGTGACCTACTGGCCACTTTGCTCCTTCTCTGATTTCTTCATAACCGTGGTCCAATCAAAATCTTCTGACAA